TTTTTCGCTTCTTCTAAGGCGTACTCAAACAAGTCGTCCTGATCATCTACTGTTTTTTTCTTTTTATCGCTGTCACTTTCTCGGTATTCTCTTCTATCTTTCCTGTCTTCATCGCGGTCTCTTGATCGAGATCTTTTTCTATGCCTTCTGTCTTTATCACGTTTCCTGTCCCGATCTCTTTCCTTGTCCTTATCTTTGTGCTTCTTTGAGGATCCCATTATTTTAGTTTTAAATCAAAAAATACAAGTTTACAATGTGAATATACTAGTAAAACGTTGAATCAACTACTTCTAATATAATGGCGGCCATTTTCTGCTTGGTAGCCACGTCCCCTCACCAGTCCTCTTCAGTGAACTCGGTCAAGAAAGATAGAGGGATCCCAKTGATGACAACKCCTGTCATATCGCTATCATTTTCATTAGCAACTATGTTTGTTTTGTCATCATTTTTATTATTGGGTTTTGATTTACTTGTCGCTTCAAATGACATTATTATTTACACAGAGCTGAACAAAACGAGATTAAAAAAGCTAGATAGKAGAAAATCATTCTCAAAACATAGAAGTACTGTTTACTAAGGCTTTTCAAGTGCTTGGGTTTGGCTTCAGTGGATGCTGATTGGTGATACAACCTTGATATTAAGTAATTTATACCTGTTATTAAACTTAAATGGTTGCAAACCTCTATCACTTACTAATCAATACAATTCAAGATTGTTAGTAGGCTTAGCATGTTTACTTTTTGAAACAAAGTCAACTGTACATAGAGAAGACTTATAGGTTTGGASCTCGAAGGTCAAGAAGAACAGTCAAAATAAATGAATTTCATTACACAGGGTTATCAAACGTGATCACTATTGAAAGCTGAAAGTATCCCAGTTCTCACTCCAAAAACATATTCAAGACCAAGTCGCTACATGTGACGCTGCTATTTAACAGATTTAAAGTGAGCTTTCAACAGAACCGCCGATACTACGTGCAAGAAATGACGATGAACCATCATGGCTCTGCCTCTACTGAAAAAACAGCAACACATAATACTTTGATATACGAGACGRTTATTCCTCCAGTGATAAGTAGCAGGGAACTACGACAAACATTGCGACAAAACAAGCAAGATACTTCAGCAACAGCAACGCCACCTTATACTGAAGGTAAACAGTACGCTTGTTTGTAGGAGGTCCTACAATTTCGTTTAACAGAATAGTATGGCGAAAATAGCTTAGTTTAATTTAKCATCAACATAGAACCACCTTAGTGATGAATGACTTGATTTACTGATGAAGTAGTTTCCTCTACCTTTCCATGAAGTAATTGTTTAATCGTCCCATGAGATGAACGATTGTTTAATCATTTGTAATTGTAATCTGTCGTATCAGTATCGATAGTGTATATATGATCATTATGGTACTACCATACAAGGACTCCTAAAGATAAGGCCATCAAAGTTTTTCTGTTCCTAAACATTGTTTTTAACTAATGCAGCATAGGTCAGTATGGTGCAGATGCTTCGAATAAATTGTTTAAAATGAACTGACCCAGTCGACTGACACAAGAACTTGAAAACAATCGTGACATTCATGATTAGATACTACCATATCTGCTGGACGTCTTTCTATGTCTCTAGTTTGTCACTGTTGAATGAGCACAGCTTTACTGTGGCCAATGCGGCAGTAAAATATTCAAGTCTAATTATCAATCATGCTCTCAGTATCATCTTAATACATGGATTCTGTTTCTATTTGTAGCTGGTCTCTCTAAGGGTGTGGTCATCGCAAGTAGCATTGTGGCATTTATAGGTGTTGTTGCAGTTGTACTTGTAATAGTTGTCTTAGTAAAACGATGGAAAACAATAAGGAAAAGGTTTGTTACAGTACACTTTTAACTGCTAGTATGCACGCTTGTTTGTAAAGTCACGATGCTATTCAAATTTGACTTTTAAAAAGTTTACAGGAAGAATCCGCATGATCTCTTCGCGTTTATCGATACGTTAATCACTCACTTATACTCACTCGACTCATTACGCTAATATTTGCAACCTGTGAACAATACTTGTATCCATGGTGACAAAGATATCTGATGTTGTTATCGCGCATATTTCTACTAAAGTGCTTTTCATTTTCGATAATTTTTTATATTTTCAGACGCAGCAATATCCGAACAGTTAGAAGTAATACGCAACTATCTTTCGATAACTTGAGCTATGTCGGTGAAGGTCGACGTAACTCGGTTTATAACGAAGTTGATATGACAGACTTTGAGATCATGCGCACTAGAGTTGTGACGTCAATCAAGAGAAAGGTGTCGGCATTCTCGGCCAAAGCCAAGGACCAGGATTCACGAACAATAAACTGTGGAAGGCTGTCTATCATTGAGACCAAATATGAGCATTCCACCTTAGATTTGGGGGAAATAGTTCAAACCTTTCAAGTATGAAAATGGTATGATTTTACATGACGACATAGTTAATAAAGGGATGACGACAAAGACCATGCGATCACATCGAAAGCGCATACGTTGAAGCTAATTTAATGTTATTGGTATATTGAAGGAGCAACGATTTCATATGAATAAAAATGAATTTTTTAATTTCCTGGTGCGGTCGTCTTTAGCTCCCAGCTGACACCATATATGGAGAAGGGCGTGGGGCGTAAGGTAGACACCGATACTCACCTTTCTCGACACACTACACAAATATGGTCATTGAGCTCAAAAACTCTGCTACCATTAAAAATGGGATTCGGGACTTTCATTACTCCTCAAATTTCTCGTATTTAAAACAAAAAAATCCAGCCAATACTGAGTAATATAAACACTAGGCTTCAACTCATTAAAACATTAATACAAGTGTACGCAAGGTACTCTAGAGATCTTCACGAATGAGAGAGGTTTCTAAAGCTACTAAGACTCCGTGACGACAAACCACTTTCCTAATCATAAACAAAAAGGTGATGATTTGAAAGCTCTTGAATTTTGTTGTCAAAGTGTTGACTACAGTGACTTCTTTTTGTTTGAAACATTTTTAGTTTTAGACACAGCGCAAGAACAATGTGAATAGATATGAAACGAAAATGAAATGGCTGCCATACGTAAAGGTTCGACATGCAACCGAATCARCAAAGGGTTCAGTTTGTTGAACACTAGCCTATACAAATTGTATCAGAGTGAATGATCTGAACCCAAGCGATGTAGGTGTGATATGATCGTAGATGTATGAGAAGTCTTGAGAAAGACTGTTATAATTATYTGTCGTTTCGACATCCTGCGTAGAAATCATCTTCACCTATTCATGATTGGCGTAATTGCCTCAAGTAAAATAAATGCTTTATTAAAAATGAATAAAAAACAACTTTCGGCGAAAAAATAAAAAAAACTATTTTAATTAAAATCGACTTACAGCCTGAGAACAATACTTCTTTTCTTCGGTTTATTGCATCAAGTGTTTCCGTTGTTGTTATCTTTCGTTTTCAATATTGATTATTTTTCAATAATCCTTCCTTAATTGAATTGATAACAATTACTTGACCAGGTCACTAACGCAGACGTCATTAATGATTTTACATTTGGTGATAAACACCGAAGGTTTTTTGCTGATCGCACTGATGAAACTGTTGTAGGCATTGTGCTAAGATAATCTCCGAAGGAACTTGTAAATGGCTAAACAGTTTTGATATTTTGTTCCCCGAAATCGAAAACACATATTCTTTGAAGTAAGTACATTGAAAATATATTGATTGATTTAATGGTCAATTTACCTTTTACAATTGTTTACCAGTCGATCATGATAAAAACCTAACTAATATTTCCAAATTAGTTTTTTCCTGGTCTTTACCTGGTTGTATATCAGAATACACGCTGCATCGGTTAGAAATTAGACAATATTTCTCTTTATCATTCATTTCCTATACAATTTTTATCCTGTATGATTTGGTATGAAAAAGACCGAAAATTAAGCACGGTGAATGTAAGTTTTCTTCATATCGAAAAGATTTGCTCCGCTTTCCGTGATTAGCCGCTGTGATTTTGTTATTAAACAATCAAAAAACTAATACTCTCGCATGTCAGGGAATAAATTCATCTTTGATAGAAATGATTGGAGGAATAAGGGACTATCTACTACAGAAATCATGATAAAGAACTAATATATTTTCTGTTCTTTTCACACACCTACGCAAAATTTACATTCATTCTAAGAATTTTAATACCGATAAGCTTGAAAACCACAAAAACGACAAAGGGTGCCATCAGGGTTTAATCGAAGAAACCGAAGCCGAAATTAACAATTTTTTTGTGTCCTCAATTTTTTTGATTACGTCTCCGCCACACGTGTCCAACCATACTCTATAGGAATTTTCAAAAGCGATCCTTACCGTAGATATACCTGAAAATTAACATCTTTCTGGGGACGCAAAAAAAAAACAGACAAGAAACCAGAGACAAATGAAGAGGAGCCTTGGAAACGAAGCAGTGCGAGGTCTGATTGGCTAGCGATCTGATGGTCAGTTATTCACGAGTAGATTACTGCAAAAACAAATTAGCCCGCCTTTGATCGATATTATTCATCCTACAAATAGGAGAACAGAAGTCCCGGTAATTTCTTTTTTTGCCAGTGAGCTATAAATAACATCTGTCACACATTACCAGAAAATATTGACATAAAAAGTCRCTAAAATCCTTCGTTTGTCTCTGTAATGGTCCTTATGCTCCAAAACAAACATAAATTGTTTGTACTTGATTCTCTTTTACACCGCTTACATTGAAACGTATACTGAAATGAGAACTACTAACCCGGAAATGAAATGAAATGAAAGGCATACCGTAAAATACTGGCACTYGGTCTTAACCAACAAATGACTGGAAAATCGTATTGCAACATTGGTATTTAGTGTCAGAGCTTTTTAATGGTTTAGTGATGGATCAGCTTTATTTATTTAGAAGTAACACGTGATACGATTTCATAAAGAAAGTCTACAATTGTTTTATGYGSGATGTTTGATTTTATAACCCACGATTGACAGGTTTACGAAACACCAGAACTTCAGAGCTGAAGAAAGCTTTTGTGTGCAGCTGAACATCACAAGCCAATATCCTGCAATATACTTTATCCTGCCAAATATACTTTATCCCTGAGTAAGACTGAAGTGCTGGTACAGTTAGCAAACATACCATTCAAGTCTTAAGTTGTATTTCTTTTTTCTCTCAAGTCTATTACTAATTCAAGATTGTATGCTGTTGCAGGCACATAACAAGGYGAGATTACGGGATTATAGCAAGTCTCACAACACAGCAGATCTAATTTTTAATCTAGCAAGAACCACTAGAAAGATGCCACCATAGAGGTAAAATGATAAAACTTACCAGGTATTCATTTTTTTAATAAGACACTATTTCAGTCATCAGGCGACTCTTGGATACGTACACAGCTATGATAAACAACTTAGAATTAGCACCAATATGATCCATGATGATCTCTGATCCACTAAAATCTCTCCTCAAGTTAGCGTTTTTAAATAATGCCATTCTATACTATAACCAGTGTTTCACTGCKAYATTCAATGTCAGCACTATARRACGGATCTTCACAGTCGTGGGTTCTACATACGTGCGTTCTGTCCGCGGGGGAGGAGGAGGGGGGTGGTGGTAATTACCCATCTACCTGCTATGCATCTTCCATGTTGGACCCAATAGATATTCCTACTTTACTCTGCATCTAATTATCTAATTCCGATTCAATTCTTCATTTTTCATCAGGAACCACAATGCACGACTTCTTATTCCTTTAGTTTAGTACAGGACATACAAGATAGGCCTCATTGTATCATCGACGCAAATATGGATTGTAAGAACTTGACAGGCAACATCTCACAGCCAACAAGTCCAACAAACAGTTACAGCATAGCTAGCTGTACCACATTATGTGCATCAAGTTTTGTGTTCTACGTTATCATCATAGCAATTGCTGTAATTGGAAATGTATTAGTGGTGTATGCTTTTAGTACAAACAACAAGATCAGACAATCACTAGCGACATATTTCATAGTGAGTCTTGCTGTATCCGATATGTTTACTGCATCGGTTGTTATGCCGTTTGAYTTAGAGATGGTACTAGTCGGATATACATGGCGTCATGGACCACTCATGTGTAGTATCTGGACGACTATGTACCTTTTGATGGTACCTACATCTATACTCAACTTACTGGCTCTCACAGTAGACCGTTATAAGACACTAAGCGACCCACTAAACAAGTTTAAAGAGTCTCCATTCATGACCAGAAAAAAGGCKTTGGCTATAATTGCAGGAATTTGGGTCTATTCTTTGTTATTTGCYCTGATCCCCGAGTTGGGTTGGAGTATATATCCTAGTGTTATCGTTAATGGTGCATGTGTTTTCAATATTTCACCAGTGTACAGCATGCTCAGCTCAGTRGTGAACTTCTTTGTTCCTCTCGTGTCAATGTGTTTCTTATATTTTCATATTTATCGCATTGCAATGAGAAAGAACCAAATGACAGTCAAYCTTCTACAAATTGCCAATTCTCCTCGAATGAACCTTAACCATGCCAMGAAAAATTACAACATTTCGTCGATTAACACCAAAAAACAGAAGATGCTTTTGAGAAACACTCGTGCATCCAAGACTGTCTTGGTGATAGTGTGTACATTTGTACTATGCTGGATGCCTTACACAATCTTCAGTTTTATCTACGCTGCATGCTTTACATGTTTTTATGTTAAAGGAATCGAAGTATTAAACACAGTTTTCCTWATCATGGGATATTCCAACAGCGCTTTGAATCCTTTTTTGTTTGGTCTAACACATCCTTTATTTARGAAGACTTTTAAAATGCTGTTTAAAAAGTTACTTTCCAAGATTCATCAGCCACGTCAGGGTGCGACGCTAAGGCCGAGTAACCCACCACATCGAATCACACACAGTGGATCTGTATACATGTTAAACGAAACATTGTACAACAACAGTGAAACTGAGTCGATTGACTTTCAATAACAGGGGATGCTGTCATATCAAATGTCCCTTTGCAGAAAAGTCCACCATTATCATTTTTGAGGACTTGACTGACTAAACAAGATTGTGATAGTGAATTGTGTCAATAACGCGCCCTTATTTCACTATCCATGAAATTTATTTATATGAAAGAATTAGCCYAAACAACACAAATCGGTTAGTTTATTTTTGTCTGCAAACAATGATGGACAAGCTGTAAGAGTCTGGGCAGATCTTCTGCTCCATTGAACGAGTACATTAGTAGTGACAGAGTGAAGTTTATATCGATAGAAGTATAAAAACTAACAAAATAAAATCAAAATTAAACCATTTACAATAATATTAAATTTTCATCGACGACACTTGTACAAGGGTAAGACAAACTGGTCATTATATSGAAGTACACTACTCCAACTGCATAGAAAAGATATCGTTCACTATGTGTTATAGTGATGATGGATTCAGAGGGAGCAGTACGTACCAAAAACAACAACCAACAATCCAAATCGTGTCATCGGTGCAAATTCATACCTCTCTATAATCCTATTTTTCACTTTTTTCGTTTGTTCAGTTTTTCAAACAATTAAGCCTAGCTCAGTAGCCTACACTGCATTACGGATYTCTTATTACTGTTGGATTCACCCTGACATTTAACTACAGAGACTGTTGGTTAGGATCTCCAGACGAATAAATAAGTAGTACATGCAGATGAGGCTACTGGGTAGGAATCAAGATAGAGAAATTGCCCCAACTAATGGATTAAGTACGAACACAAACAAAAGAAAACGAGTCGCCTGGGGTCCTGAACCAACGACAAGAYTTGTTTGGGAATACTTTTCTACAATTTTTGATATTATTTTGCATTTTTCAATTGGTTGGAGAGCCAGTCCAGTCCCTCGTAAAGACCGTCACCACTTGTAGCACATGTCGCTTGGATGTACCATGTTCTTGACCTTTGGCTATGCAGTCCAAGCTTATCAGTGACTTCTTGAGCATTCATTGCATTGGGTAAATCCTTTATGCGAACAAATAAACAACATTAGACGTACAGTAGTCTGAAATATTGACATATGCACGACAGAAAGCCATTGTGGGTTTCAATATTCAGTCATCGGTTGAAAAAAAAAGCCAAATAAACCATCATCAAAGATTTTTATTCATAGGACATTAAAAACTGTCTTTCATAGGAGAAATAGGAGAAATACTTAAATAAATAAATACTTAAATACTTCATAGGAGAAATTTCCACCAAATATCAATACCCATAGTGCCTTTCAGCCGTCATTTTTTCTCACAAACTTGTTCAAAAGGCATTAATTACACACTGAATTGCATAGTGAAGTCATTTAACCCGTGAAACACAATGTGACCATTAAAATAGAATAATAGCAAAACACGACACAAAACGGAAAAAATCCCATTCGAGTCGACTTCCCTCTAAGGTTTTATTTTGCTGTGATTCTTAACGTCTTCAYTGCTGTACGAYGTGTTACAGGAGMAGATCTATCTGGCGGGTAACCACACCCTGCACCCCTTRATATTATCCCTGCAACCCCTCCTCATCTCCAGCGCCCTTCCCAGGAGAACATCCTGGATCTGCMACAGATGGCTTGTACCATCTCTGAGTATTGTGGTTAAATATCACAGAGAAAAGCTTTACTGTTGTTCAATCACTTAAAAATAAAGGTGCTTTCTTTTCACGATAATACGGTCATTTCAGTTTCAAACATTATGAGGTGGAGCAACCTCTTAGGTGAAGAGAGATCAATGGATGTGTGTATCAAATCATAATGTACGAGCGAACATTTAAACTTATCAAAGTTTCTTTAATGTTTTGTCCTGAGTGTACAAAATTGATCCACTTACAAAATAAGGGTGGTTTATACAATAGACATTTGATGCTGGTATAGAAACATCTAAATTATATTATAAATCATTAATGCTGTATAAGTGGCTTATAACTTCTTGATAAAGTACTATGTATCTAGATTAACCCAAGCTGGTGCAATGATTTTCTTAGTGGTGTTTATATTTTTACTTCATTTTTTTCACTGAATATGTTTCTCTTTTTTTTTTCTTTTTTCTATCATCAATTACAAAACCATTGCTTCATTAAACTAGTAAGGAAAGTATGCATGTGTAACAACAGTTTTGTAATTAATTTGATTTTTGTATCAAGACAACAATTAATTTAGTTTTTCATTTTCTTAAGTGTGTTTGACAGCCAATCCAAGCCTTCATAAAGACCATCTCCACTTGTAGCACAAGTTGCCTGGATATACCACTGTCTGTTCCTCATGTTATGCAAAAGAAGCTTGTCAGTCACTTCTGCAGCATTCATAGCATTGGGCAAATCCTACAGTGAAGAAAACTAGAATTAAGTATGGGGCAATAATTTTACACTAATTAGATGGTTTAATAAGAAATGTCAATTAATGTACAAGATTTATTCTTCGATCATAACAGTGAGCTGTTCCACAATTTAAAAAGCATAGCTCAATATGGCTTTTTGGACTAGAATAAAAAAGTTTTAACAGAGAAAGCAATAAAGTGGTATAATAATTTTTTTTATCTTATTTTCTCATTATTTGATTTTGTCAAAGTGTCCACATTGAGCTGTACATGTAAATTGTAAAAAAGCTCACTGTCACTCAACCCTAATTARCTTCATTTTCATAAGGAAACTGAAATAGGTAAGCATCACATCAAAACGTTCTTTGCATCAACCCTCATTCATATATAATCCTTATAACTTTAAAATACATTTGATGGTAGATTGAGAGCATTATATATAGAGCTACATACACTTTGTAATACGTACCTACAGTACAACCCTGCTACCTCAAACACTCAAGAGACAGGAGGAAATAGTGCGAGATAGCAGGGGTTCCAAATCCAATGTAAATCCAAATCCACAATGGACGTTGGTGTGTTTGAGATAGCCCAAAGTTGAGATAACAGAGTTCTACTGTAAACCTTCTTACATGCACAATTCCTTTACATAATTCTAGTAATGTTACAGTGCTTATTTTTATAACAAATTTTATAACAAAATACTAAAATATAATGTGTAGTCAGAGCTATGTTTAGTTTAACTAGTTAAGCCCAAGACAAGAGAATATGACACCAATGAATTATGTGAATTTTATTAAACCTTATGTGATATACATACACTACAATATTCACATTGCTAAAATACATGCAATGTACTTACACTCATGAACTATATGTGACATCAAGAATTATTCCTAAGTCAAAACTGTTTAGTATCCAAACAAATCTATTTTACCATGTCTATTTTACATAACATAAATATCACTTTACCATACACAGGCAAAACAATTGCAATAAGTTGGTTAACTAAGGCCTGTATAACAACATCCAATTGACTATTATATACAAATGTAAACTATTTCATATTTTTTAGTTCATTTGACATCCAGTCCAAGCCTTCATAAAGACCATCTCCACTTGTAGCACATGTTGCCTGGACATACCATTTTCTACCCCGTAAAGAATGGAGGCCAAGTTTATCTGTGATTTCTGCTGCATTCATGGCATTTGGTAAGTCCTTGAATGATAACAAAAACAGTTTAGTTCAAGTAACACTATTGAATTTTCATTGTATAATATAATTTGTTTTCTTTTGCACCAGAATTSTATTTTAAATTATCAATTTAATTTTAATTTTCCAAGTTAAAATATTATAGAAAATTTACTGTTAGCATTCACAATCATGAACATTACACAACAATCATGTCATCATATTTCCACTAGCTAATCTAAGTATTTTTCAATAAATACATAATACGGTGTAATTTAACTCATGAATTTGTGCTAGGAATATCTCATTTACATGGTAGTAATTGTTAATAATATGATGATAAGATGGTGCTTACAATAATGTTATTAAGCTCAGCGATAATCTATATTTTTTTCCACCAGAAACCAGAAAGAGTATAAAGCACATCAACAAGCACAACACACAAAATTGAACATCCTGACACCATATTGTTTCATTAGGTTTATTATTGCAATTAGTGAAGACTGGATTACATAGTGCTTTATGAGGTTTAGAAGGAATAGCTTGAAAGATACTTCAAATCAAGGTCCATAGAAAGAACTGCTGTGTATAGAGACATACCTTGGTTTTTCTGCATTCTCAATATTGTAGTAGTTATAGCTTTCAAATGCAAGAATTGTCATACTATGACTGCCAAATTATAGAGCAGCACGAATATTGAAGATCACAAAATGATAAAATCTGAATTTAATTTACAGTAAGATAAAAAGAATTCAGGTTCATTTAACTGTGATTATTTCCAATACAAAACACTGACAAAGCTTCAATATGAATAATAATATACTTATTTATGGAAATTCCTGATCTCATATTTAAACTAAAAAGTACAGAATAAGAACAATATTTGTCCTCATTTTTGGCCAACATTTTGTACAAATGAAGATTAGAAGAAAATACAATTGTCATCCAGGGCAACTGTCCATCAGTACATATGAGTAGACCTAATGTGGAATACAGAATATAGTTTGTCAGGTATCCATAAAAACATGCCACCTAATAATACATGATTGTGCAACATTGGCTAGACAGTCAAGCAATTAYTATATGTCATGTCAAGAATATTACTGTAAATGTCATTATCTAATTAACACCAATCTCAAAAGTAAATAAAATTATAGTAAGAATGAAAACAAATAAAGCATTCTGATTGTAGAAAACTTATGGCATAATTCAAATATTGCACTCTATTAAAATTGTATTATTATAAAAACCACTACAAGGAATAGTATAAAAATCTACAAATTGACAACATACCTTTTTGAAGAGCTTGAACACTTTTAGAATTCCGAATAATCATCGCACACATGATGATMACTCACGATCAACAAAGATCTTMAAGATGGTTCCTGGTTAAGACTGTACACAGTTTCAAGTCGATTGATCAAGGAATACTGATCAAGGTAGCTCAAACTTCGTGAAAAGTTTTCAAAGATAATATGTAATGATTGTGTTGATGTTGCTCTTATTCATTCAACATTAGCAATATATCATATCAATTCGAATTTTTGTTCCAGTTTGAGGCAATCGAAATAAAGAAGTGATGTCAGGAGACGCCGAATTCCAAGCATTTTTTGGATGCATATGCATCAAAATTAAGCAACCACAAAAATATTCTTGTCCAAGTTAAGCTTTATTATTTGGCGAAAAAACCCTCAAAGACTGCAATTTTCATCTACAATCTGTGGTCGAACTGACACCTTACCATTACACAATTTTGATCAAAACAATGTTGATGTCTAAAAACTATGACAGCGTTTGTGATCTTTCTCACAGCAATCCAACTGATTAAACATTATAACTACCATAATAATACCATAATAATACACATATAGTTGGTTTATCTTGTAAATGATCAAAATTCTTACCTGTTTATTCGCAAAGACTAGTAATACCGCATCTCTTAGCTCATCTTCATTTAACATTCTATTCAGTTCCTCTCGAGCTTCTCCCACTCTTTCTCGATCGTTACTGTCGACAACAAAGATAAGACCTAGAAGACAGTACATCTAAGTTAATAAAGGCTTTTAGAATTGGAGAAAGCATAGAGAACATGAACGGTTACGTCTGACAAGATGGCAGTACCTTGAGTGTTCTGGAAGTAATGTCGCCATAATGGACGGATCTTGTCTTGGCCACCGACATCCCAAACTGTGAAGCTTATATTCTTATATTCTACAGTTTCTACGTTAAAACCTTGTGGAACAAGAACATAAAGAAATCAATCAGCAATAGTTACGTTAGTTTTAGATTTTGGTTGTTAGAGAGGAAGTGAAGTGGTACGAAGCGTCAACATTCTTACCTATAGTTGGGATTGTAGTTACAATTTCTCCCAATTTAAGCTTGTACAGAATTGTAGTTTTTCCAGCAGCATCTAGACCAACCATGAGAATTCTCATTTCCTTCTTTCCAAACAAACCCGAGAATAATTTTGCGAAGACGCCTCCCATATTTTACAAACTGTTTGTTGCTCTTTGCTTTCCCTACGACAGAAAAAATACATAAAATCAACATAACTACTCACTCAATCCTAAAACCATTGCCCATCTATATAATTCAATAAGTGAACAATAAGTTCAATTACAAAAATTACGTTTGAAGGCTGTAGTTTACCAGTTTATGAAGAATTTGTGTAAATTATATTTTACCTAAATCAAAATGGCGGCCCAAGTCTTTGTGAAGAGGGAGCTCGTTACTGAGAAGGGGCGTCACATGTGCCACGTCATTGCCTAGGACAAGGGTGTCTACGCTATTGACATAATGACGCACTACATTGATATCCCTAAAGTTATTTCCGTCTTGGTCAAATACAACCTCGTTCCCAGGGCCATCACGGACTCCACAAAATGGCCGGTCGTCCAGCGATGACCCTGGCAAACATTGATTATCACGTGATCAAATAGTCCACGATACATGGACTATTTGATCACGTGTCAATCTATTCAAAAATGTGTTCGCAACGTAAACCCAACGTTTTTAATCGGGCTAGCTGTGGTGGGTCGACATTTTGTTTATCTGACTGAACAAAAACATTTTAACTTAATTGTTTATTTCATAATTTCCATTCAATCGGCAATATAAGTACAAGGAGTAGTTTCAGTTCATTCTAGAAGTCCTCAGGGGTTCTTGGAAAGAGAATGCGGCTGTAGATTAAAGCGCCGAGTAGAAGACTTTCAAAACATCAACGCTTTCGCTAAAATACAGTAAATATATCGGCCGGGTTTAATTACTTACACCTTCGGCTGGCTTCTCAAAAGCATGCATGAGATAAAGAACACACGAAAAGACAACTGACGTGACGACCGGCCATTTTGTGGAGTCCGTGATGGCCCTGGGAACGAGGTTGGGTCAAATACACAGGCAGCCCAAACTCGACGGTAGACGTATACACCAGAATTAAGACAGGAAAGAAAAACAACAATAGCCGACTTGCGAATTACGCATCAATAGTCACATACAAAGGAATAAAGACGAGGCGCCGTGCTAAAGACAATATATTTTTCACAAAAAAGCTCGGCGCCTCGTCTTGATTCCTTTGTATGTGACTATTGATGTGAAAAAGGACAAAAATCGGCATAAAGCCAATATATACTAAACTTGAGTATTTTTAAAAAACAATTGGCATTCAATGCATTACAACAGAAAGTGGTTAAAGCATTCTGGTAGTTGTAGTTAATGACGCCATAATGCAAATCGCCTATTATTATTTTTTAATTCAGAGCTTGTCACCTCGTTTCCATGTGCGCATCGTCTTCTTCACGGATTCCTTCGTCTCGCTTCGATGCAAAGGCACGGCTACCTTTCAAGATGACGCTGGGAACCGTGAAGGAGACTATTCAATAGGCCGTTTGCATTATGACGTAACTTTACTACAACTACCAGAGAGCTTTGCGCATTTTCATTGTTATTCAGATTTTTAATCCCCTTTGATTTATTAAAACAATTGGCACTAATTGGCACTAATTGCATTCTGGTAGTTGTAGTAAATGACGCCATAATGCATATCGCCTATTGAGTACGGGGCATAAGTTTGGCTTAGTAGTCTTTGATGCATAAAATATATGCGTGTTACACGTTGTAAGATGCTAGACTTGTGTTATATACCGCTTGATTTACAGGAGGGTCTCAATGGGGTTAACCGTGAGCCGTGAAACGGCTAAAAAATTAGCCGTGACTCGTAAAAATGAGAAAAAATAGCCGTGAAACGGCTGAAAAATTAGCCGTGAGTCGTGAAAATGAGAAAAAAATTAGCCGTGAGGCGTGAAAAAGTCAAATTTTTAGCCGTGAGTCGTGATACGGACCCCCCCATTGAGACCCTCTTACAGCTGCTTGATGCACTTCAGAAACAAAATCAATGCAATGACTCATGATTAGTCTTAAAGACCTGCGCATCTCAGTAAACACATTACATTAAAATGGCTGCTGTCTATGGTTCAATATCAAATATTTGGGATGTATCATTGGTAGAAGTCACTGCAAGGATCTTTGATCAACTTCAAGATGAAGCATCGACCATTGGAATAGCATTAGTCATTGTTGGTACAATACTTGGGCCTCTGGCAATTACAGCAAACGCTATAGTCATTACTGCAATATGGAAAGATCCTTACAAACAACTACGAGCCTCGCCATCCAACATCATCATTGCAAGTATGGCTTGTTCTGATTTCTTAGTAGGTGTTGTGTTCAGTAGTTTTATGACGTTCGCTATGATCATCAACTTATCAAAAGAATATCTTGGTCATCAGGTTCATCAAGCTTTTATAATGTCGTTGATAGCGTTCATTGGACTGTCAGTTCTACATGTCTTTGCCTTGACTATCGATAGAGTCATTGCTGTAATTCGACCTTTGCGGTACAGATCATACGTCACAAAAAAGCGAGTTCTTTGGTGTGTGTTGAGTATGTGGTTGTTTAATTTGATTYCGTCTTGTGCAAAGGTTCCATTTCTCGACCACTACTTCATTTTTTCCTTTGTGTTTTTCCTTTTTTTAAATGTTGTAATCTTTGCGACTTTTATTATGTCAATGATTATTGTTTATCGCATTAAAAAGCCTTCTCAGGCATTATTTAATACAACTGGAAACCGAGAAAACCTGAAAAATGTCATCGCAAGAAACAAGAAAGTAACGAAGTCGATTATTTTACTAGTGGTGATATTCAAAGCATGTTTTACTCCATTCTCGCTTTGCTGGATGATCTTGCTAACGTGTGGAATCTGTAAAAGTCACTTGAATGTGCTACTGCTTGCCTACTGTTTTTCGATGTTCATAATGGTCTTTAATTCATGCTTGAATCCCTTTATTTATGCATGGAGGCTCCCTAAATTCAAAAACTCTATCTTCTATATCATGAAAAAGTTATTTTGCTGTTTATGCAAAACGGACGACTTGTCCACTCAATCAAGTACGCGCACAGCTCTTGCAATGACCGTTCTTCCACAGCGAACTCCAGTCAAACAAGGACAACTTAGGAGAACAAGCCTTTGAGTTAGTGCAAACAAAATCCCGTTGCTAAGACCATTCAGTTTCAAAACTGCTGTGGATCCTAGATGCGCAGTCTACCATATGACAGTAACTTCCGCCAGAACGCATGGTCGCAACCTGGACTAAAAGTACCGTGACAACAGAAATAAACGATGAATATTATTTCGGAAAAGTCTGCAGAAAATCTAATCAATTATAATCAAAAATGTTCTGCAAGCTGTACATGTATATATGAATATTCAGCTTGAATCAAAATAATTGTTTTTTTGGTAATTAAAGTTTTAAGATCCATTTGTGTTGTATTGTCGGGCTTAATACATTTAAGTGCATGGTATTAGTAAAACTCCAGCAATCTAAAAGCAATTATTCATCACAACAAAACTGATTACTCAGCAACTTTGTCAGTGTCACCTGCGTATTCATCATTATCGTGCAGTTAGATCCCAAGCGAAAAAAGGAACGACAATTAATGAAGAAGGAATGAAAAAACTGATTGAATTTCATTTAAAACAAGTGTTGCTATATTCGTCTTTTACTTGTCACAAAAATTCACATCAGTGTGGCTGTTTCCATCGGTAATCTTTTTCTGTCATGTATGATAGATAGATGATAGATGATATGATGTTTGTTAGATCCTGATAAGATACTGATGTTTAATTCATTAATTTTATAACAATAATAAAGCAGCTGATGTTTAATTCGTCAGTGGTGTACTCGGTGTCTACTGCACATTACACTTTTTGAAGTCTAGAAACTACTCATTCTTCTAGTGCTTATTTCATCGTGTATTCTTGCTCGGGAATTAAATGTAAAAAGTCCCACACGGCACGCACTCTGAGCTATAAACAATACATACAGTCATTTGTTTTCTCGAATCGCTTATCAATGAAGATAGAAGACCGGACGGAACTGTATGTACAACCATATCATTGATTACAGGACAAGTAGAAAGGAAGCGTTTTGCTAATATATTCAAAAGGCAGACGATGGAACTAAGACCGACTGTGGTGATTAATAAAATGACATTTCTGTCTAAATCTACTTTAATATTTTTTCATTTCGTAATTCATTTTGTTTAGGTGGCAAAGTTTAGGTGGCAACATGGATAATAAAAGCACTCCAGTGATTTTACTATCCATGATGGCAAGTACGTTTTAAATTTGACTTTACACAGACAATAATTGATTTTCAGCAGTTTGCTGATATAAATGGTGTCTCTTGGTCACCGAAACGTCAGTTTTATTTACATTAATAAAATACGCTCTTTTCTTTTATTAAAAAAAGCGAATCCATGATATTTACCTTGCCGCCAAAACAATAGAAAGCGATGATCAAAACTGATCACTATAATGAAATTCTACCAAGGTCATTAAAATGATGATTACTTATTTTCGATTCTTATTTTTTTATTTTCTTTTTCTAGTCTTAAAATGCGTCGGGAAGAAATAGGTTTTCGTCAATAGCTCCTGTTGGCACGCTTTTAAATGTGGTTATACATATAAATCATCAAATCATTAGAGTTTGGCTAATTAAAGTCCTCAGTTAAGCCAAATGGTAGATTCTCAGTTGTATGTCACAATCCTCCCTGTTTTTTATGTAATAGCCATTTCCGGCGCAGAATAGCAGTATTATTATTATTAAAAAGAATTGGTCAACACGTCATTATTAAGATATAATCAATCAAAAAAGTAAGTTTATCTGTCAATATCTTGCTTTTCGACGCATAGACAGGTGCATGAGTCCAAGGCATATCTTGTTTCCTACTACTAATATAACGGACCTGCTCGACCTATCCGAACAACTGCACTCAGAAAAATAGAGGTATATGTACATGATAGCTGAGCATCGATCGTCTTTCAATCAGTTCAACTTATCCATTAAGAAAAGTAAGTAAATTATCTAGAACATTATGTCTTTACGTATATGCAGCAGAAGTACTGGACGTCGATACCAGTACGTGCATTTGATAATATTTTAATCTTAATTTCTTTGCAAGAATATTTAACGTAAAGTTCCAAAACATCTTGACGATGTCAATAACATTTAATTTGCTATTTATCTAAAGTTTAGATTTCATATTATTTAGGAAATTTTAAAACCCCTTTTTATGCAAATAACATTTTTGTTGATTTATGTTTTTACAAGTAAACAACGTTAATGGATTGACTGAATCAACATTTAAAAAAGATCATTCTACCGCATGGAATGATGTATATCACATGCTAGTGCTGTACTAGGGTTTCTCACTTTGTTCAATGTCCCACGTATCACATCCGTTCTGGTTCAGCTTGTATGTTTTCACTAGACTCATCATTAACTACGGCTTCTGATCTTAAACAGACTCCCGTTCGGCTTCAATGTAAACAATTCCTGTGAGAAATATCTACACCATGTCACGATTAGACGATGCGGCTGCTGTTGTTGACATCAGTGATGAATACTACCTCATCTCGTCATTGGTTGGTGGGATTCTTTCTGCGTTGATCGCACCATTTCTTACCCTCGCTAACGCCATTGTCATTACTGCAATATGGAAAGATCCTTACAAACAACTACGAGCCTCGCCATCCAACATCATCATTGCAAGTATGGCGTGTTGTGATTTCTTAGTAGGTGTTGGGTGTAGTTCTATTCAGTGTTATTACAATCTCAGTACTTGGACAAACAAGAAGTCATCTATAACCAATGCCTTCATAAGTAGTATTTTTGGCGCTCTTGTCATCGGTGTTTCGATATCTCATGTTGTTGCTTTAACAGTTGATCGACTTTTAGCAGTGCAAAACCCACTTTTTTACAAAATTCGAGTCACAAAGTCTAGATGGTTGAAAGCTGTAGCCTTCATTTGGATTTTCTTTCTTGCGTTCTCTTTCCTGTATTTACTTATTAAAAATGATATCCATATTTTTTCAATAATTGCCTTAGTATTTCTATTACTGTTAGTAAAGGTATCGTGTATTTTGTCTTTGTTGGTTGTATATTTAGTAAGAAAGCAAACTAAGGAGCTGAAAGGCAATTGTAATTTAGATGCCAACATGCGAAATATTACCGAGAGAGAAAGGAAGACAACTGCAACAATTCTTGTCATCGTATTTATCTTGATAGCATGTTGTTCACCTGGTCTCATAGTCGGTGTAATTGTAAATGCATGCAGTAGATCTTGTGATGAGTACAGTAACAGCATCCTTCATGCACTCTTTGTATGTCTTCTGCATTGTGCTTTTGCACATCAACTCTTTTATTAATCCATTTCTCTATGCATTTCGTCTTCCTAAGTTTAGAAAACCAATACAACTCATGATCAAATGTTTAGTGACTTGTAAAAATATCGAACAATGCAAAGATAATGGTGTTTGTGAAGCATCTTCTACAAGTAAAGGAAAAAGGAATGAAAGATTAGAAAACAATAGTCAAGATACAAGATTGTAAGAAATGATATGAAAATAGAATTAAAATAATTAAAAGAAGTATTGCTTGACTGATTTATGTATCACTCAGTTTTTTTTACCGTTCGTTTGCTCATGACGTGATGATAAGGTATATCAAGGGTCGGGATTTTAGGTTTCATTCGGTTTTTGTTCAACTTCCAACCAATCAACCAATGAATGAGTTCCCAGTATTATAATTTGATCCTTCACCAAACGCAATGTATGCATGGATTGCCAAGGGGCAAACAAAGCGAGACCTCACAAGAGTTTGTATGGCGGAAATTCGTATTTTCATGTTTATCGCTCGATTTTTCAGTGGATATGGAACTTTTTTACGCCCTTTTTACAGGGTATTATTAATAGGAAGTTGTACAATATTTATGTAAAATTATAGGCGAAAAACTCGATTTTCTTTCGCAATAGTCGCATTGTGAAATGTACACAGTAATACTTCGCTCACGGACTTAAAATAGAGAGATTTTTTGTCAAGATAAATGCCCGGGGGGGAACTCCCTAATATCAAAGGGCGGGGGTCCTCGGCGTCCCTTTTAGGGTTTGAAATCGGTATTTTGGTCCCGCTTAGGGTGATAATGACGAGAATTCCCACCAACTGAGTTTTGTGGTCCCTTTTAGGGTATATGACGTCCCTAATCCGTCATTATGAGATCAAAAACCACAGCTTCTAATTAGATGATTGATTTTATTTTAATCAATTTCACGTCTTAATTTCACGTCACTTAACACTCCTTAATAGACGAGATTATTGGTCCCTTTTAGGGATGAAATTTCAGCACTGCCAAGCCCATCATCTCCAAATACAGGTCTTTCTTAGGGGTCATTTTCATAATTTCCGCCGAGGACCCCCGCCCTTTGATATTAGGGAGTCTAGGTTTCATAAACGTACTTGCCTAGACTCTATGCTAGAATTTTAATCAAACTGGAGAGACACGCTCCAACAATATCAATACAAAGAGGGAGGCGGCGTCGGGGCTAGCATTTAAGTAATGGCCCGAGTAAGAACTAGAGAAGCAAACGGCAAAGGAATGCAAGAAGGTGCTAATTGTGTATTGTATAATCCATCCATCCCATTGGTTTAAACAAAGAAAATCCGCTATAATTTCACAAGTTAGCATTTTCTAATATTTTATTTAATATCTAATTCCGACTTCATGAAAGCTTTATTTAGCTACAATATTAAGGCAATTCTTTGTGTTGAACATAGCAAATTAGAAGATTCTTTTGGCTAATGTTTTGAGTGCTTATGATTGGATAAGATGTTTGCATTCAAAAGAAACTTTGTTTCAAAATAGAGTTTATCCACATTTTATTTTAAAAATGTGTTACCCGCATAGGTTGATATATAATCAGTGTGAAAACCAAGACATTCGTATGTGGGGAAGTTGCAATGCCGCAGAACAATAGAGAGTTCTATAGTTCTTATGCGCATTAAATTATCAAGAATCTTGTTTACATTGCAAGGAATACAACATTCTCACTAGAGAAACTCTTATCTATCAAGATCTCGACGGTTTATATACAGAATACGTGTTTTAGAGCATCAAACATGATGTTTCTCAACCAAAACTATTTGATTGACAACTATTTGTTTGCTCCATGCCGCAACAACTATTCAATGCGTCAGTGCAATTCAATAATGGTGCCAGTGTCTGCCGTGCAAAGTTCTTTACTCATTTGTGGAATGTTGAGAGGTTTTTACTGGCTCAGCAACAGCCAACCATTCATGACAACCAAACCAACAATGAAAAGATTAACACCCAATCTACACCCAGACGACTTCGATGCGCGTTCTTTCATTATCTTCATCTGTTCTTTGGTAAAACGTTCAAGATCATCATTATACTTTTTAAGACCATCTGCAATGACTTGAACCAAACCATCCATTTTGGTTTCTTTGTTGGAAAGATGCTTCTTGTCTATCTTGAAATGCCGAGGGTGTATTTCTTTTCCCTGGGAAAACATGTCGATCTTTTTTAGTTTGTCGTCGCGATTCTTGCTTGCACGTGCAACAGGTTTAAAAAAAAGCTTTGATGTGAAAACATCTTTCTGAGGACTTGAAAGCTTCATTTGTTGCTGCTGACGATGGTGAGCCTGTATTGGTCGCTTTTGTTGTGATAGCTGCTTTTTTTGCTGTTGTGGTAGCTGATGTTTCTGCATGATTTGCGGTTGTCGTGGTAGCTGTTGCTGTTGTTGTTGTTGTTGTTGTTGTCGATTAAAAGTGAAGGACAGTTTTATGCGAATTCCTCTAGGCGTATGGACAGTTAGCCGTTTCTGCAATGGTATTCGAGTAATATTGTACTGAAACATAGCTCTGATGGTTCCATCGCAGACTTCGTTGTTACAATTGAGACGGCGAGTGATCTATGGATACAGCATAACAGCAATGAAAGTTACATCAACGTTGGAAATTGAGCTGAAATCTATTGAAAAACTTGCACAAATACTTACCATCAGCTCTGAAGAGAAAAAGAAACTTTTCCAAACTTTTGCACCGAACTTGGAAGTGATGGACCGTTTAACGTAAAGAACTATTCTCTTCACTCTACTCATTAACTCAGGGTTCATTTCCAGTAAAACGTCATAATGGTGCCCCTTGCCTTTAATGATTGACAGCTGACGTTGAAGAAATCTCAGATCACTTTGACCAAGTGCTTTCCCATTTTGGTTCATTTTAAACTTTGTTGTGAGAAACATCGTCAAAAGAGGGATTTCCATTAAAGAGTTTTTCACGGTTTTTTTGCGGACCATTTCCATGACAACGATTCCACACGTCAATTGCTTCTTGGGACATTTTGCGGGAATCTTGGTGTATTCTAAATCACGACAAAAACCATCAATACATACCTCTCTGTTACCAATAAATACCCAGACAGAAAGCAAACATACAGCACAGTACACAATTAACCCAAGGAAATAGATATGTGATAAAGAATAATAACAGCAACTAAAGACTCATTCTGGAATCATTCTCGAGTTAAGCAGTAACTGGACGATACCTTTTTGGTTGTAAAGATGGTCAAAGGACATGTTACCAGTCATTAACCAGTTCAAAACATCTTGACGAACTTGTTCGCTTTTCTTAGGTTTCTTTACCTGAACATAAAACCCAAATAATACCATACTAATACCAAAATGCACATCACTACTGATAAATAAACAAACTTAAGGGCCTATGACGTTTCTCAAGAGGTACATGAAGACATGATATTCACGGTACCTGTTTCTTCTCTGCGACATATTTGGAGGCTTTTTCAAGATGATGTTCATCACTGTTGGTCGAATTTTCTTGGATGAAAACAATGAGTTGATGAGCCGACATGTCCGTATGACTATCGATTGTCTGGTTATCAGAATCAAAGGTAAACGTAAACACTTTCCCATTCGACATCCTCTCGTATGATAATTTCTTGGGAATGTTGTGTTTAGATAAACCAAATAGCTGTAGGTAACGTGGATCTGTAACGAATATAAATACATGCTTCTAAACTAGATCTGTCGAGGGTATGGCCGCGGGGGTTGTTCTCTAAACAATCCTATAGCCATGCCTTATATTAAAATATTGTATACATACGACCTAATAAAAGAGGGCATTACCAATTGTCATTGTCATTACCAATAAACAATGTTTAGGTTCAATAATTTCAATGAATAGCATACCGTTGCTTTTTTCTTTTCTTTGGTGAACATTTTCTAGTTGGTAATCTTGGATGGAACTATCGTAAAGCAACATCGAGAATGTCTGTTCATCTTCCTAAAACACAAAATTATCCAAGATGTTGGAAGGAAGTCAGTGCGATTGTTTCTTCAGACTGCAAAACGACTGAAACTTTACCTCAAACTTCAACGTGACAGACTCATCGAAATTCTTCATAATCGTACGTTTTTCACCTCTAGAAATGTCAGTGCAGTTTTCTGGTTTAACATTGAAAGTATCTTGTTTCGGGTGTTCAACAATGTCGTGGCACACATCGATTTTGTCATTAGTATTAGGCGGCTCGGTCAATACAATCCTAAAAAAGGACGGTTCCCTGAGCATTGCAACAGTGATGTACTGAACACTTGGCATCATAAATTCATAGACTTTATCTGAAAGAAAGCAATTGAATTAGAACAACAAAGAAAAGCAAAGTACAGGAAAACAACATTGAGAGGATACCTTTTTTCTTGTCTTTGTCTCCATAATAATGACTTTTATCAAGAGTTTGTTGATGAGTGTATTGTTGCTCAAGCCACGATGGGTCTTCAATAGCACATCTCTCGTATTTACCGATATCTGGACTTACTGACACACTCATCATCACTGACAACACGTAGCTGATAACACGTTCGTTGTTTGTGTATCTGACAGCCTTCGTTATCTACGGGATAAATGTTTTCTTAGTTTCACGGATTTTTTCACAGTGAATATAAGGAACAATTAAAACAAATAACCATACAAATTAATATCGACCAAACAACATCAGTGGAAAAGTATCAATAATTATACAATGTAGCATTCTATCACAAATTGACTGGGAAAAGCCTCTGGGCATTTAAAAGTTGTCTGAAAAAATGGTAAAAATAATTCGTTCGACGGGCAAAGCAAGTAATAAAACCAAACACACTACTAATTTTACCTTAATGTTAGACGAGTAAGAGCCAGTTATTTCGTTTGTTGTGCTGTTCAAAGCGCAAAGCTTGAAGACAACAATGGAAGGACTTGTGAATGTTTTACACTTCACTTGACCTGCTGTCGCATCCCTAACTCTTTGAAAAGCCTCTTGTAACTCCAAAGAATGCATCAAGTTTAAATTCGCGAGACTGTTTTCAAGAATTCCTCGATTACTTAAAGAAAATATTATATTTTCAGATTCATTTGAGGGCCTCTCTCCTGGAAGAAGTTTTTCTTTGACTTGGATGCCAGCCATCAAAGTCTCCAGCAAGTCATTGTCAGAACCGGCTATGGCTGTTGAAACAACTAAAATCAAGAATATTGCATCAACATTTTCTCCAGACTCATTGAAATAAATTTAAAAAGTAATAAAAAATGGAGCGTTCTCTTAAAAGATATGTGAGGAAACGCCCCTAAAATCACGTGGCAATGGTCAGTACCACGCCGATAAGAAACGTTTCAAGAAGTTAGAACTGTTAAATTGTGTTTCGAGCGATATGAATATGATCTGCATCCAATCGTCACGGAAAGGCTGCAAACTAGAGAGTGATCTCTTTTTGGACTCTTTAATTCCCAAGTCAAATTAAATATAACATTAATCGAAGATCAAACGTTCTAATAAATAAGGCTTATCCGACCAAAATGAATAGAAAACAGGACTCATTGTTTGAAATATTTCCAGCCATTAAATATTAATCACTTTTAAAAGTTTGCCCTTTGCATAACTTTAACAATTTAGTGATGCAAAAATAAAATTTCTATGCGCGGAAAAATGTACCAATATAAACTGACAATATCAGTGATACAAGTCGTACTCTGCATTTAAAGTTAAAAGCTGCGAGAAAAACAACTTAACTAACAACCTTTTGACAGTTCTTATTAAATTCACAGTGTTTGCCATTTCCATATCAATTCTAAGCTTCCTATCTTTCTAATGTTTCAGCAGTATTTCTCCAGCAGGTCTTCTACTTATTTCATGTTTGCTAGAGAAATGCAATATGCTGCATAATAAATTCTGTGAAGTTCTAGCGAAACAAACCACTGAAGAGTTTTCAGACTACGTAATGTACTTACTTGCAGCCAAAAGCAAACAAAATGCAAGGATTCGATACTTGGAAATCATGCCTTCCTTTCTTCCTCGGAGAAGTCGCTTGTTAAGTAATGCAATAATTATTTGCGCAAAGAAATCTTTTTAAGTCTCGAGAATACACTACATCAGACGCGGACTGCTTTTCGGAATTAGAATATCAGATTTAATAATAAAGAAGCCCTGAACAACCAATGAATTTACAAAGTTTTGTCACGTGAATGACAGCAATAAGCAGCTGCCACATTTCTCCTGAAGGTCGAGATTAGAGGTAAATAGGCTGACAGATCACATTAAATTGAATCAATAAAAAAATAGTCCACAGTACATGTTTGATGTTGTTCTTTGTACAGTTTTAGTGTTTTCCTATAAATACATGCAGAATACATATATATCAGTTAACTCGTCAGACAAATACTGCCGATATTTGCTTTGTCAAAGGTATGGACACAAAGGGAAAACAAGGGTTACTTCAATAATCTGCAGTGTTATAAAAAACTCTCAGTTTCCATATTCATTTTTGCCGTTACATCTTATTCCGTACATCTTATCTTATATTATCTAGCAATCTTGTAGTTATCCACAGATAAACCTAAAAAACGGACAGCAGTGCCATACACAACAATAGTTCTCCAATCTAAAATGCACTACAATGACGATGGTTTAATCTAGGACTGTTTAACCTATCCGGTATTGTCAGTATATTGGTTCTGTTCATCTTAGGTGATGTAGCTGAAGATTCTGGGCATTCGTTAAGGTGAACTATGATTGGCTTACAGCAAAACACCCATTTCACAACCAGACTGACAGGCTTTCTAAACTTGGGAAGACGAAAAGCATAAATGAATGGATTCAGGCAGGAATTAACGTGTGTTAGCACTAAAGACAGGCAATATCCACCAATAATAATGTTCACATGACCGTGACAAACAGAGCACATTAAAAGAAGCATGGAAAAGATACACAGTGGAGCGAAACAAACTTGAAGGATAACTGCAATAAGCACGATAGATTTTGTCAACTTTTTTTCTCGTAGTTTTATTGAACCATTTTTCATGGAAATGGCGTTGACTTCTTTAAGTTCGTGTTGCTGTTGTCTTACTTTAAGTACTATGTAAAAAGAGAAGAAAGAAACTGCTAAAACAGCAAACAAAACGATGAAAGCTCCCAAGATAGAGTGAATGTAGTAGTGATTGTATAAAGGTACAGTCAAGCCACCCATGATAATAAAAAATATCCATATTATAGACACAGTATAAGTCACCCTTTTCTTGGTAACACGAACTTTGTAGAGCAGAGGGTTAGTCACCGAGATCACTCGATCGATCGTTAATGCGAGAACATGAAAAACGGACACTCCAATCAAAAACAAACCGATGCCAAATGCACAAGAAGCGGCATAAAACGAGAAATCTGCTTGAACAGCCATACTTAACAACCAATAACACTGCATAAAACTACAGACAGCACCAACTAAGAAGTCGCAAACCGCCATACTTGCAATGATGATGTTGGATGGCGAGGCTCGTAGTTGTTTGTAAGGATCTTTCCATATTGCAGTAATGACAATGGCGTTCGACACCATGATCACCGGTGCAAATGTCGCTATAACCACACCACCAATCAAATTGATTGTTGGAAAATCTTTTTTCAGGAAACTCAGCAAAAGACGGTACTCTTCGTCGATGGACTTGTTCCAGATGTGTTCATAGGAACCATAAATGGCCGCCATTCTGATAGGAAGCTTGCTCAGTGTATTCACTTATTGATTGCTCAATACATCTAATGAGATACGAGCAGTCACCAGGCAAATTTTGTGGGAGTGAAACCTTGCATTGCTCTTGATGTCAACTGAAATGAAAACCTGTGACGCAAACGTTGCACCTGAATTACTTCTATGTCGTCAAACCATCGATTTCTAATTCGACGAGCTTTTTTTTTCCGCATCTAATTCGTTTCAATAGACCTTGAAACAAGATGCAGAACACACGCAGTTCTTATTTAATTTTTACTATCATAAATGTTTGTATAACTGAGCACAATGATTGACAAACATGAATCCAATTAATCGATGACTGTGAATATAAAATGGCAACGAATCAATGGACTATGATGATTGGCAACATACTTGATAACAAATCTTTACTAGAGATTGATTGAGATATATTACTTTCCATCTTTTAGAACTCGTTGTCCAAGTGATCGTTAACTATACCTTAAAACTTTAAAATGAAGTCATAATCATCACTGTTTCATTTCCCACAACCTTGAATTGATTCGCTCTTCATTCTCAAAACAACAAAGCCTTTAAAACGAGAAGTAAAGCGTTGAGACTTAAATCCTTCCGGATGATTATTGATAATAATGCATGGACGTTTGCTGTTTTTGTTGTTAAGTAGGGACAAAATAGACTTCAAGGTTGATTGTACAAGGCAAGATTTTTTTAAAAAAGAGTTAAAAAATGGAAATAAAAGAAAGTTCAACCAGAAAAGAAGAAAAAGATAGAAACAAAAAAAAAAATACAATATGTTTATTTCTTCATTTGATTTGAAATTCAAAACTAGCGTACTCGCGCAATAATTGAGTAAAATGTTTCTCTCTCTAATAGTCCTCATTTGCTGACCATCAATCAAACCGGAACTGGCTCAGTAAAAATAGCCAGTCATTAAAAGAGGGCGCCCTAGCAGTACATAAATCTGTTATAATTAAAATATAAAAAAATATAAATAAAGCATGATTAAAGCAGCCGTCACACTAATGCATGCTGGTAACTTGTTTTTATCAACAAAATTGACAATAAATGAGGAAATTCAATTACAGCGTTTACTAGTGTTCATTGCTGTAAAAAAAATCAACTCGAACGGAACTTAGAAATAAAAGGATATGTCATAGGTAGATGTTACCTCTATTTGCCACTATTCTTTTTAAACAACTTTTAAATCGAAGCTACGTACAATCGTTGTATGAAATGAACAGCTGAGGACTGAAAGGCTTATGATAAGTGGATTCTGATAAACGGCGCTAATGAATGAATTCATTTTCTATTTACCATTTCGGTATAATCTTTATGTTCTGATAAATTTGAGCTGAGTATTACTAAGTTTCATATATAAGGCATATATAATGTGAGTATCTTATACCTAAAAGCATTTTTTTTAAAAAAAAGCTTAACTTATTTTTAAAATACAATACTGTATACGATTTTTAAGTTTATCTAATAAACTAAGTCAATAATGGTTTAACATTACTATATCTATCGCAATTTCAATACAATTTCAGCATTTTATATTAGATTTCATATTATAATGATATTTACCGCGCTTATCAAATGGCAATATATATTATTTCACATGCGCAATGAGTTATATATTAATATATTACTTTATAAATACTGAGCACCTTCACATCAATAACTTGTGGAAGAGAACATTTTGCGTAATAAAAAAACTAACGTTATTGGTCCTTGTTTAATGGACTGCAATCGAACACTTCTCGTGATCGATCGAACAATTCTCGTGGTCGATCGAACAATTCTCGTGATCGATCGAACAATTCTCGTGATCGATCGAACAATTCTCGTGGTCGATCGAACAATTCTCGTGATCGATCGAACAATTCTTGTGGTCGATCGAACAATTCTCGTGATCGATCGAACAATTCTCGTGTTCTCGACCAGTTATGAGGGTGGGTGCCAGTCACGAGGGTGGGGTACGGTAGGTATTATAAACTATCTGGTGAAGTAACAGATGGTGACCGTTTCGAGGCACTACTGTGAACGTCTCCTGATCCCATTCGAATACTCAGTCGTGATTGACTGGACTGTTCATGACTCTGTATTTCACTTGCTTGCTTATAAAGCTGGACTGCAGTCTCATGCTGGCCCTTTAACATAACAAGTCGTTATTAGCTAGTTAGACTAGCTTCGTCCACCAGTCTCAAATATACCTTTGTTCATACGTTAAAGGTTGACCGTTTGACCAATGGGGATGATTAAAATAAACGCCAATCTAGTTCCATAAGCGCTAATTTCAATAATCACTTACCTGATCGAAGTACAGTTTAGCAAGGTTAATCATCGCTTCTGCAACTCGTGGATGGTGTGCACCAAGCGATTGTTCGTAGATTTTTAATGCACGTTCGTACAATGGCAAGGCTTCTGACTGCTTTCCCTGTTTTTAAAAATTACACGAACATTTTATGGGTGAGAATGCAAGAATGGTAATTCCTTGCCTATTAAACTTAGTATGCATCGAATTACTCCTCGAATATCTTACAAGCTACAGGAAAAGGAAAGAACAGCTCGCTGTCGTATTTGAAACACGATGGGCAAATTTCAACATACTTTAGACATAAGCTCAAACTCCACAAGTTATGAACAACCCTTCCCCTACCGACAGATTCGTTATCAATATCTAATGTTCTTACCTGAAGACAGAGTACAACAGCCAAGTTATTCAGTGCAGTGCCAACACTCGGATGATTCTCACCTAACACACTAATACGGGCTTCCAACGCTCGTCTGCAAAAAGAAAAAAAAACAGGTATGCCACTAAGATTCATTTGATCAGGGACAAAAACATTAAATTCTAGTCTGCATATAGAGCAAATTTACTGCATTCACTGAGATCAAAGAGGGAAAATCTCTTTAGGGGAATTTCTTTGAAAACACATCTTTTTAAGTCTTACCTGTACAGCGGCTCAGCCTCGGCGTATTTACCCTGAAACAGACAACATAACACTTCAACCAAACAACAACAACAACAACAACAACAATAATAATAACAACAACAACAATAACAACAACAACAACAGCAGCAGCAGCAGCAGCAACAACAACAACAACAACAACAACAACAGCAGCAGCAGCAACAACAACAGCAACAACAACAGCAGCAGCAGCAGCAACAACAACAGCAACAATAACAATAATAACAACAACACGCGTATGAAGTTTGGATCGAGTGTATTGAAGGCGTATCACGTTTGGATCGAGTGTATTGAAGGCGTATCAAGTTTAGATCGAGTGTATTGAAGGCGTATGACGTTTAGATCGAGTGTAATGAAGGCGTATCACGTTTGGATCGAGTGTATTGAAGGCGTATCAAGTTTAGATCGAGTGTATTGAAGGCGTATCACGTTTAGATCGAGTGTAATGAAGGCGTATCACGTTTGGATCGAGTGTACCGTGTGCGGTACAGTATCATAGTCTACCTAGTGCGATAGTGAACCGTGTGCGGTACAGAATCATAGCCTACCTAGTGGGATAGTGTACCCTGTGCGGTACAGTATCATAGTCTACCTGGCCTGATTGTGTACCTACTGCGGTACAGTATCATAGTCTAGCTAATGCGATAGTGTACCGTGCGCGGTACAGTATCATAGTCTACCTAGTGCGATAGTGTACCGTGTCCGGTACAGTATCATAGTCTACCTAGT